TTCTCAGAGTCCATAGTCTCTCATGGTTCATCTCTCCCTCCAATTTTCCCCCCTTCATTTTTCCCTTCCTTCTCCTAATGTCCTCCATGCTATTCCTTATGTTCCACAAATAAGTGAAACCATATGATAATTGACTTTCTCTGCTTGACTTATTTCACTTAGCATAATCTCCTCCAGTCCCATCCATGTTGATGTAAAAGTTGGGTATTCATCTTTTCTGATGGCTGAGTAATATTCCATTGTATATATGGACCACATCTTCTTTATCCATTCCTCTGTTGAAGGGCATCTCAGCTCTTTCCACAGTTTGGCTACTGTGGACATTGCTGCTATGAACATTGGGGTGTGTATGGCTCTTCTTTTCACTACATCTGTGTCTTTGGGGTAAATACCCAGTAGTGCAATTGCTGGGTCATAGGTAGCTCTTTTTTTAATTTTCTGAAGCATCTCCACACTGTTTTCCAAAGTGGCTGTACCAACTTGCATTCCCACCAACAGTATAAGAGGGTTCCCCTTTCTCCACAACGTCTCCAACATTTGTTGTTTCTTGCCTTGTCAATTTTTTACATTCTAACTGGTGTAAGGTGGTATCTCAATGTGTTTTTGATTTTAATTTCCCTGATGGCTAATGATGATGAACATTTTTTCATGTGTCTGTTAGCCATTTGTATGTCTTCTTTGGAGAAGTGTCTGTTCATGTCTTCTGCCCATTTTTTGACTTGATTATTTGTTTTCTGGGTGTTGAGTTTGAGAAGTTCTTTATAGATCTTGGATACCAGCCCTTTATCTGTAGTGTCATTTGCCCATATCTTCTTCCATTCTGTGGGTTGCCTCTTTGTTTTGTTGACTGTTTCCTTTGCTGTGCAGAAGCTTTTTATCTTGATGAATGCAACTGTAGAAAGAGAAATTAGAGAAACAATTCCATTTACAATAGTACCAAAAACCATAAGATACCATGGAATAAACCTAACCAAAGAGGTAAAGGATCTATACTCTAGGAGCTACAGAACACTCATGAAAGAAATTGAAGAAGACACAAAAAGATGGAAAAACTCCATGCTCATGGATCGGAAGAATAAACATTGTTAAAATGTCTATGCTACCCAGAGCAATCTATACCTTCAATGCCATCCTGATCAAAATTCCAATGACATTTTTCTTTTGCTTTTTTTTTTTTTAAAGATTTTATTTATTTATATGACAGAGAGACACAGTGAGAGAGGAAACACAAGCAGGGGGAGCGGCAGAGGGAGAAGCAGGCTTCCCGCAGAGCAGGGAGCCCGATGCGGGGCTCGATCCCAGGACCCTGGGATCATGACCTGAGCCAAAGGCAGACGCTTAACGACTGAGCCACCCAGGCGCCCCTCCAATGACATTTTTCAAAGTGCTGGAACAAACAATCCTAAAATTTGTATGGAATCAGAAAAGACCCTGAATCACCAAGGAAATTTTGAAAAAGAAAAACAAAGCTGGGGGCATGACATTGCCTGATTTCAAGCTATGTTACAAAGCAGTGATCACCAAGACAGCATGGTACTGGCATAAAAGCAAACATATAGACCAATGGAACAGAATAGAGAGCCCAGATATGGACCCTCAACTCTATGGTCAAATAATCTTTGACAAAGCAGGAAAAAATGTGCAATGGAAAAAAGACAGTCTCTTCAATAAATGGTGCTGGGAGAATTGGACAGCTATATACAGAAGAATGAAACTCGACCATTCTCTAACACTATACACAAAGATAAACTCAAAGTGGATGAAAGACCTCAATGTGAGACAGGAATCCACCAAAATCCTAGAGGAGAACAGAGGCAATAACCTCTTTGACATTGGCCACAGCAACTTCTTTCAAGATACATCTCCAAAGGCTAGTGAAACAAAACCAAATGTTTGTTAATAGAGAATGGGTTAAATAAAACCATGCTGTATCAATACAAGGGCGAAAGCTCCCTTACCCCTTCCACCATGTGAGGTTACATTGAGAAGTCAGCAATCTGCAACCCAGAAGACGGTCTTCACCTGAACCCAACCATGCTGGCATCCAGTTTTGGACTTCCATCCTCCAGAACTCTGAGAAATAAATTGCTGTTGTTTATAAGCCACCTAATTTGTGGTATTTTGCTATAGTAGCCCAAACGGAAATGAGCTATCAAGCCATAGAAAGACATGGAAGAAACTTAAATGTATATTATTAAGTGAAAAGAGTTAATCTGAAAACACTACATACTGTATGACTCCAACTATATGATACTCTGGAAAAAGAAAAACTATGGAGACAGTAAAAGGATCAGTGGTTGTCAGCAATTAGGGAAGAAGGAGGGAAGGATAACTGGAGCACACAGGATTTTTAGGGCAGTGAAACCACTCTGTATAATTTATAATAGGGCATATATGTCATTATTCATTTTCTAAAACCCATAGAACATACAGATAATGAACCCTAATGTAAGCTATGGACTTTGGGTGACAGTAATGTGTCCATGTAGGTTCATTGATTGTAATAAATGTACTACTCTGCTGCAGAGCTTTGATAGTTAGGAGAGGCTGAATGTATGAGGGGACAGAGGATATATAAGGAATCTCTGTACCTTCTGCTCAATTTTGCTGTGAATCTAAAACAGCTCTGAAAAATAAAATCTATTAACTTTTTTTAGTAACAAAATATAGAAATGATCCCTGAAAGTATAATCTTGTTATTATTATATTTTTTTAAATAAGGAAAACAAACCAGACAAATGGTTACGAACAAGAGAAAAGTATCAATTTCCACCAAAAGGAACCAGTATTCCTTGGACAGATGGTTGATTCCAGCACTGAAACAGAAAATTTACTAATGAGCATTTTGTTGGCCAGAAAGCCAGGAAATTATCAAAGGCTAACTATGGTCTTGTCATAGAGACTCAGGTGTTAACTTGGCCTATTGACTTGGGCCTTTGAACATCAATAAGGATATTAACTACAATGGATTGACACAAATCCAATATACTCGAATTTGTAAATTCAAAATGATACTTTAAAAAACTTCATTGATCATCATTCTCCTGAGAATGGACTATACATCAGGGAAAACAGATAACTGATGTTGAGAAGGTTTACTTTATGGAAATCTTCCAGCTAATAAACAATGAAGAAATGATGAAATTATCACTATTTTACAATCCTTAATAAATTAATAGCTATAAGCAGTAATCATCAATGGCTGCTAACATCACTGAGAGTAAGACAGACAGACATTATGTACATACTCGGAGAAGTATACCTATGAAGAACTATTGCTAAAAAAATCAAGCCCAAATCTGTCAGTATCTAACTACTAATTAGTAGGAAATTAATGGGATGGAGGAACATATTAAATGGCACCATGGGAATGTAAGTAAAATAGGGGGAGTAGGGTTTCTGCAGGAAAAACCAACTAGTATCTTTCTTCAATAACCATACCGAAGATAGAAAGAGAGGGAGAGAGAGGGAAGAAAAGAGTGGGGGAGAGAGACAGGGAGGAAGAAAAATTGCAAATAAAAAAGGATAGGAAAGAAACCTACATTTAAAAAGAAAATAAAAAGACATAACAACCAGATACAATGTATAAACTTCATTTGGATCCTTATTTAATTTTTTATTTATTTTTAGAGCTTTATTTATTTTAGAAAGAGAGAGAGTGCATTCGAGTGGGAGGGGAGCAGAGGGAGAGAGAGAGAGAGAGAGAGAGAGAATCTCAAGCAGATTCTGTGCTGAGCCCAACTTGGGGCTTCATCTCATGAACCTGAGATCATGACCTAAGCTGAAATCAAGAGTCAGATGCTTAACTGACTGAGCCACCCAAGTGCCCCTAGATCCTAATTTAAACAATAAAGTATAAAAAAAAAATTGTGAAGCAATTTAAAATATTTCAACTTTTCAATAGTTCTTTAATATCTATGATACTAAAAAAAATCACTTGCTGAGATAATATTATGGTTATAGTTGAAGAAAAGTAGGTATACATACATATATTCATGTATAAATATACACAAATACTGAAATATTCACAGTTGAAATTATATAATATCTGGAATTTGCTTCTAAATATTTTAGAGGTGGAGAGTCACTGAATTGATAACTGCTGAATTATTGAACCTGAGGGTGATGCATACTGTTTTGTTTGTACCCACAGGTTTTTAATTTATACAGATGACTGATTACCAACACAGAGAGGTTAATGCCATTGAAAGATTTTTATTACTTACATTTTTCAAGAGTACAGGGCAGCTCATGCCACACAGAAGCATCAGGGTAGTCAAGAGACGGAAGACAGGAACAAGGGGAAATTCTGTGCCAGAGTCTTTATTGGGATTTCCACAGGAAAGGCAAGGCAGGACAGGGTAAACAGTTTAGGGTTGGCCAATATGAATAATTCTGGCAGGCTTTGGATTATGGGGGTGGTCTCTACTTGCCTGATACCTGTCCCTGGGATAATTTAGGGCAGGGGAAATTTTGGCTCGGTGTGTAAAAGTCAGATAAGGAAGTGGTTGGTTTGTGTAAGAGAGGCAATCTCTCCCAGGTCTGTAAGGCCCCAAAATATCAGGATATCAAGAATATGCCAGAGTATCAAGAATACAGAAAAGAAAATGTAGTCAATATATTGGTCCCATGATGAATGGATGTCAATAGAAAAATACAGAATCTAAGAAAATACATACATGGAGTACATTATACTGTTTTGTCCATTATTATATATGTTTGAAATTTTTCATAATAAAATGTTTTTTAGAAAACTAGAAAAAACATTAGTGTAAATGGGTTGTTTTCCCAAAGAAAGCTACAACAATATCATCCATACCACATGCTCTTTTGCAATGTGGCCTTGCTATTTACTCTTCTATTAAAAGGTGTAGTCTATTTCTTCCACCATTGAATTTGGGCTAGACTTAGTACTTATCATGCGTAATGGGAAATGTAATGCTTTGACTTCTGAGGCTAGGCCTTAAAATTTATACAACTTCTATCTGTGCATTTTACAGTTCAGCTTCTGGGAACTCAGCCTCTATGCTGTGAGGAAGCCCAAGCAGCCACTTGGAGATATCTATGTGGAGAAAAACCAAGGTCCCTGAAAACAGCCCCAGCTGAGTCCTCAATCAGGAACCAGAAATAACTCAGAAATGTGAGTGAGAGTGTTTTAGACCTCTAACCATCCCAGCACCCCCACTAACACCATGATCCCTGCAAAGAAGAAACTCTAGCCAGTCCCTGCCTGAATTCCCACAGAACCATGAGCAAATAAGCTATTTTTGTTTTAGGCAATTAAATTTGAGATAATGTGTTACATAGAAGTGAGTAACTTACATAAAAGTATAAAAATATCTTATAGAGATCATTACTTCCTTATGAAGAGAAAATAAAGAACTATAATATAGATGTACTCTTCAAGCAAATACATGAAAATAAAGAAGAATTTCACCTAAACACCAAAAAAACTGATTTTATGACCTATGATTTTTTTAAAATAATGCCTAAAGTAATGCAAGGCAGATTGTTAGTAAGTGGTTCAGAGCTGGAAATACCTCTACAGTCTTAGAACAATGAGGTCAATTTAGCTGGAGTAAATAGTAACATTAGAGGAGTAGCAAGGAACTAGATGGGGAAAGTCAATAGAGACATTAACCTTAAAATGTCTTGGGTAATAGTTCAGACTTTCTTCAAGAGGTAACAAAAAGTTGACTGAAGATTCTTAGTAGGGCAGTGACATAATCAAATCAGTGTTTTGACAAAAGTGGTTGTTTTGTATGGATTAGTATGAGGAAAAACTTGACACATCAGGGCCAGTTAGGATGATTTCCAGATATGAGGTTATGAGAAGTTGGACTAAGGAAATGACAGTGCATACAAGTTCAAGAACTATCTAATGAATAATTAAGGGATGACTGAATGGTAAAAGGAATGATGAAGAAGGAAAATCCAGAGATGATGCTGAGATTTTGAGTTGGGATGACTAAGAAAATTGGGGCGACACTGATGCAGAGAAGAAAACTGAGAAGAGATAATGGGTTGAAAGGTAATGGTGACCTACTGAGTAGAATTCTAGACCTACTGAGATAGTGAGTTCTAGACCTACTAAGTTAATACTATATCCAAGTACAAATATCCCATGTTTAGTTTCTGGCATGTAATTGAGTTAAGATGAGACATTAGAACTCACAATAATAAGCAGTATTTTCCAAAATGTCTTTCTCAAACACTATTGACATGAGATGCCCCATTAAAATATCCTGAGACTAAATAAATTTGGAAAATGTTTACTACTTCTTGGATACTCAGAATGCACATTAGAATATCAAACACTCAGAATGATCCTTCTGTACAGAAGTCTATATAATTTTGCCTAAGCAAAACATTCCAAACTATGGTCAACCCTTGACACTTTATATCATGATTCACTTGGAAAATGCAGGATGAGACTCACCAAGAATAGACTTAATAGCTAAAGCCAGTGCACAGAATCAATCAAAAAATGGAAAACAAACAAACAAACTTGAGAGTGAAGGTCAAAGGGTTAAGAACTGAACTAGAATAGAGAAGAGCCTGGAGAAGGAATTGTTTGACAATGGAGGATGATCATGGAAGTTCGGTGTCACAGAAGATCACAGAAGATTAAGTGGGTTTCAGAAGGACAACATGGCCATGTACTGCAGAAATGTTAAGAAGGCCAAAGCCAAAAAGAAAGGCCTGGAAAAGGTCATTGGATTTAGTCAGAAGTCAATAGTCATCCTCTTGAAAGAGTTTTGGTGGAAGGTTTTGAAGAAAAATATCTGACAGAGGCTAGAGAAAAAGTATGTTGTGAGGGAAATCAAAACCATAGGTAATAGATATTAACTGGCTATCTGAAAGTGAAAATCTGAGGGAAAGAAGACTAGCTCCATGGGTTGTCTGTGTCAACTGGAAAATTTTCAATAATGTAAAAAATCTGTGCACATGCAAAGACAGATGAGAATATGCCAATGGAACCTGGAATGATGCTGAAGAGTGAGAATACTATATCTGAGGAGTAAGGAATAGTCCTAGAGCAAAAGTAGCAGCATTAATCTGGAAGAAGAGGAACAGCGTTTTTTCTGAGATGAGTACAGAAGACAAGTGATGTCAAAAGAGGGCTAAATGGGTGATGATGGAAAAGAAGAACTCCTAAGGATCAGCAGAGTTGGGGGAAGGAGGCAGATGACCAGGAGGAGGCTGTAGTTAGAGGAGGAGAGAACCAAATGTATGCTTTTGGAAAAGGAGCAATGCTAGCCTCCTTGAAGAACAGTAAAATCTGGGAGATTGAGGAGGTAATTTAGGTTAATGTTGAATATAAAATGAAAGGGAGTACAAATATTTATTCTTTAATAAAACATATTCTTTAATACATATAATATGGAAAAATTTGGAAAAGGTGATAAGATCTGTCCCCTTATTGTTTATTAGTTTATTTCAATTGCTCATTAAAGATGAGAATTCTCCATTAAACTCTAAGTTCTATGGGGCAGGCCTTGGTCTGTCTTGTTATTTTTGTGCCATTGACATCTAACAGTGGCTGGCAGATAGTAGGTGGTTGGTAAATATTACTTCAGAATTTATAGGTGTGCTTTGGTTCAGGAGGCAGAGTGGAAGTGCAGGGCACAAATGATAGGAATAAATACTTGATTATAGCAGAAGCAGAAGACTAGGTTCATGAGTGAGGAAACAGAGCTCACTAACAAACATTTTTGAGTCATGAAGCTGAAAATGACCTCTCAGATATTCTAATCTTGATTCCTGATTAAGTGAGGAAAGCCTCACTTAATTGCTCAGCCTTAAGAAACAAACTCAGTCAGGGTCATCTGAGTGGCTCAGTAAGTTAAGTGTCTGCCTTTAGCTCAGGTCATGATCCTGGGGTCCTGACATCCAGCCCCATGTTGGGCTCCCTGTTCAATGAGGAGCCTACTTTTCCCTCTCCCTCCTGTGCTCTCTTGCTCTCTCCCTCTCTCTCTCAAATATATAAATAAAAATCTTAGGAAAAAAAACTCAACCAAAAGGACTCATAATAGCAGCAAAAAGCTACATTTGATTTCATCATTTGAGATTTTTACCATTACCCAAATATGAAGAATATAAATATAATCACAAGATTTCCCCCTTTCAACAGTGTCACTTCCATTTCCTGCTAGTAGCAGCATCACTGATCTTTTCGAAGTCATCATTCCCATAATACTTGGGGTCTCACTCTCCACTCCCAATGCCTACTCCAGATATACCCAAAATAAAAGGCCACTGTGAGAATTACAAGTTCTAAAACACCCGATGAATATGAAGTGAGGTGAAGAGCAAAGGCATTATGCAACACATTTCAGTTGTGCCAGTAGGTCTTGGTATTTCTGACTTATTAAGTTGACTCCTCTTCTAAAACTAACAAAGCAGTGCAGCATGCAGCAAAAAGCATCAACTTTGGGGCCAGTGATCCAGACTTGGTTTTTTAATCCCAAACACAATTACTTGCTTACTATGTAATTCTACTTATTCAACTCCATGCAATGAGGATGATAATTACTTGTAGTTTCAGGTTGGTTTTGAAAATTATAGATAATGTCTATAATGTACTTGGTACAAAGCAAACACTCAGTAAAGTGAAGTTACAAATATTTTTATCCAAATACTCTGTTTTGATAGCCAAAATGCCACAGCTAGGGCCATAGTTAGACATTATAAATTTCTGGCCATAACAAGTGAAAAAGGGCAGTGAAAATGAGTCTAAATACAGAAAATTACTTGAAAGTCTGTTTAGGAAACAGACCCCCCCACCCCCTTTCTACAATAAACTGCAGGGCAACTGTAGTGTTCATTTCCAGGAAAGGACTGAAAAGATTTCTCTGAAAAGGGTAAAATAGAGGGTCTCTGGAGTAGGAGATATCAGAGTCATTGGTATCCCTAATATCACACTAAATATGTGGAGATTAAATCAATATTTACATTCTGAATGCTGAGCTATCCTGCCTCCTTCCCTCATTCAGCTCCCAGGACTCTTAACAGCCAGTTATCTAACCTGCAGGCAAGAGATTGGAAGTTTTCTTTGGGCAAAGTGACCAGCCAAAAAGGAAGACTAAACTGAACATCAGAAATTCAATGAAAAAAAAAAGAAAGAGGGGCGTCTGGGTGGCTCAGTCGTTAAGCGTCTGCCTTGGGTTCAGGTCATGATCCCACGGTCCTGGGATTGAGCCCCACACTGGGCTCCCTGCTCCGCGGGGAGCCTGCTTCTCCCTCTCCCACTCCCCCTGCTTGTGTTCCCTCTCTTGCTGTGTCTCTGTCTAATAAATAAATAAAATCTTAAAAAAAGAAAGAAAGAAAGAAAGAGAAAGAAAGAAAGAAAAATTCAACAAAAGCACAGACCACCAAAAGTGAAGCCCGCAATTGACAAGCACTGTCCACACCCTCAAACTTGCAGTCAGGTTTTCAATGGCCTTCTCTTTGAAAAAAAGAGCAACTAAGGATTACCAGACAAATAAACAAGGGAATGGAGACTATTAATGGAGAAGAAAAGTTTACTTAAAGAAATCATTCTAAGATGTATAAGAAATAAATATTATAACTATGAGGCAAGGTCAGTATGCTATTGAAAATGGAGGAGGCATTATGCATAATTTTTTAAAAGAGCTTTTCGAATTTAAAAAAATGCAGAAATCAAAAACTCAATAGAAAGCCTGGGGAATAACCCTGCAGAAACCTTTCAAAGAATAGAGTAAGAAGACAAACAGAAAATAGGAAAGATAGGCAAATAAAGAACTAATCCAGGAAATCCAATACCCAAATAAAAGGATTTCCAGAGAAAGAAAGTACACAGTGGAGTAGAGGAGATCAACAAAGAATAATCCACAACATGTCCCCAGAACTGAAGGACATGAGTTTGCAGATGGAGGGGCCTGATGAACGTATCTGCCTTGGCATACTGGAAAAAAAAAAATGATCCATACTAATGTCAATTATCATACATTTTCTGAACACACTGGAAGCAAAGAGAAAACTCCACCCACTTCCAAAGAGAAGGTACAAAGAAGAGTCAGGTATTAGAATGGCTTTGGACTTCTCAACAGCAGCCCTGGAATCTATAAGACATTGAAACAATGACTTTTAAAATACCGAGATTTTTAACCTAGAATT